GCAGTCACTGAATTTGATATGCCTTTTTCTCCGGTCAATGAGCTATGTGGGATGAGCCGATCTACAGTTTCACTTTATCATTCTAGCTAGTAACTGTAAGACCACCTGACTTTTTTGAAGTCGCTTTTTATTGGTCTTATAATAACATAAGGTTTTATATGAGTGAAGGTTCAGATCCCGGATTGTGCGAAAATTGAAAATCTCGTGCTCTATGTGAACTCACAACTCTCCGTACCCAGGTTCTTGAAAAATATCAAAATGGGGTTGTATTTTTTGTATTTGTTAATTTGGTTTTTCTGAGTATATTTGTTCCATCCCATACTCATTTCCGCCTCATTCTATTAATTTCGTGTGTAAATGATGAGTTTTGAAGTGGCGCCGATTACCACCCGAGTGGCCCGGGATAGCATCAACCCGGGGTCAATTAATTACCACTAAAGCTGGCTGGAAGGATAAAAGCACGAACTTATACATCGGCTACAACAGGTCATATATGAACCATATGAATCAAAAGGCCGCTACGTTCCTGATCGGGAGACAAATGCATCCCAAAAATGGGACTGATTGACGCTAGAAGACATGTTCCTTCCAGACGGAGGGGTATGACATGTTCCTTCCAGACGGGGGTTTTATACATGAGCTCAAGAGATTTGTTGACCACTCTGATTCATCGGTGATGTTCCAATGCCGCTTCCTTCTAAATACCACTTGAACGGTTCGCCTTACAAGCCAACATTGGCTTTTCGAGTGAGAGACCTTCAGCGAACATACTTTGATGTCTCTTTGTGCCATTTGTTCCACTTGATAATATCGAGCAGTGCCACGACCATACAATACGATCAATTCTTTTAAAGTTTTTCACTCTCAATTTTTGTCATTTGCTTATGGTTATGTGATAAATGCCTTTGAGTACGCCTTTATTTTGGCGATCTTTTATAGACGAGAATGGGGACATCTTAAAATCCAAGGCCGGATTACCTATTCTTTCTCTTTTAAGAGAAGTGCGTCTTTGTTGTTAAGTTGATTTTGCCCGTTTAAAGAATTTATCCGCAGGAATTCATCGTCTGCGGCTCCTCGTGCCCTGTAGGCTGCGACAATCGACGTCCACAAAGCTGTACACCTTGCGAATCTGGGTGCTTTTGTAAAAACGGTGGGATTTTTAACTCCATTCGAAAGTCTATTCCAAAATTTGAAAAGGGCGTGTTGTAAAATATTTATCCTACAGTCGAGGTCAATCACAATTGTTTAGGCTTGGTGTTTCTGAATTCGACAGATTGGAGAAACTCTGATTGTGTGCGGTTCGATGAATGTCCTGACTTCACTCAGGAGAAGTCTGAACAGACAACAGTGGAGTCGATAACGACAATGTCCGAGTCAGCCAATACAGACGAAAAAGGACTAGTAATATCGAGTATGGCTCTTTATATATTACTAATCTAGAACAGCCGGATTCGATTGGGAGTTCGCTTGAATATACTTTCCCCATGTCTCATACTTCCCCACACCTTTAGATCAGGTCCCTTGGAACCTCCATTAAACGATAGATTACGTTGGTAACGTAACCAGCGAAATGGCTATCATCTGCTGCAAAAATTCTTTTAATTCTATTCGCAGTTTTGAATAAAAAGAAACTCGGTTGGGAGCAATCGGGCGCCCCAGATCTCATTCTCGATCGACCGTACGGGTAGCATACTTTGAAGGAACTGCTGAAGCTCATTTATTTCTCTAGCGGTGTTGCTCAGCTTTCCAGAGAATAAATTTCAGACCATTCTGGAATCGCTGTTGTTACAGAGGTCTCTACAGTTTGCCCTGCCGTGACATTAGATGTTGGTGGAAGGTCCTGCGCGACTGATGCTGATTGTCCAGATGAACAGGTTTCCGAATACTTTTTCTCGAAATTTTTCACTTCCTCATTTCAACCTTATATTCATTTACCTATTTCGACATCTTTTTCAGCGTTGTTGTCGTCCGGTGATTCTGTCATTGGCAGTAAATCCCCAGCGATGCACCTGCCCCGATCCAAACGCGATCTGGACAGCTTGTGGTAGCCTTTGTCCGGAGTATTGTGGGCAACCTGGAGTGAGTGATTTCGTTTCGTTTCTTTGCTAGTGTACGGGAAAGATTGCTCTCCTCTCCTTATGAGATTCCTCCATAAAGTATATGTACATACGCGAATGACTTTGTGTGCACATTGATGTTATCGCTTTCTCCATTGTATTGAGCTAGGGAAAGTCTTTAACCGTTTGACATTCTCACTCAGCTTCCAATGGATTATATTTAACTATATGATCCCCTCTCACCGATGATTACATTGAGGCTAATGTAGTAATGTAATACGTGTAATAAGAAGGTCAGCGATTTCCTTCTTCCAAAACTTAGGGGGTTGGAAATTTCTTCGCCAGGAAGACGTTGTCCTTTCAACGCGTCATGGAAACACTACAGATTAAGTAAGAGTTCTTGGTTTCGTATTCGTGAAGTCCTCCGTGAATTTCCGCATCCCATCCGACTAGCGTAAAAAGGAACGACAGCCGTGTGCAGAGCACCTTTTACTACAACATTCCTTGCGAATCATAGGGGCAGCAAGCGAGACACTACTTGGGCTTGAGGTCTGATCAACTCGTGTTGGCAAGTATTCTAGTCGAGGAAGCCACAGAGTAGCGCGCGTGTGGGGATCGTAGAAACAGTTCTTCCAGTCATTTATATCGGGGAAGAAGAAAGTGACAAATGGATAACCGGCTTATACATATAACTCATGTCATCGGTAAGGCATGAGAGATCCATCTAATCAGTACTTTCCTGTAGCCGCCACCAGTCCGCGATTGAGAACTGCTGGAGTGAGTACACGCGAGTTTCGTCACAAGGCTACGTAGGGGTGCTGGCCTGCTATCCTCTTTGACATCACCGACTATGACGGAGTCTGCTACTATGTGGGGAGCTTCCAATTGGATATTGTCTTTGGAGCCCATATGATTTTCTATGGATGAAGCGAATCAGCATTGGACATTACTGATAGGAATGGTGTTCTCTCTCGATGCGCTGTTGATATTGCGCTAAGTCACCATCGTTCCAACCACTCATAGAAGAATCTGGGCCAGACATGCTCTTGTGGAAATGTAATTGTAGTGGAAGGTAAAAAAAGATCATTGGGCTCTTTATACTTTGGGAAAGGCTTACAACTACCACATATTGCGCCAGCATCAGCACCGCATAAACGAAACTTTTGGAACTTCCAAAAAGGAATACGGTTCAAGCCACCTTTCCAACCTAATAACATCTGTTTACGGTGAATGTGGCAGATTCTGATAGCTGACTTCCACTCGGGTCGGCTCATTTTGTTCCCTCGAATAGACATTCAGTTCTCTCTATGTTTATGAATAGAAGTCAAATACTTGGCGCATTTCAGTGGAGTTATTGTTGCTCACATGATTTTTACCACTTGTATTATCTCCATTACGGCTTTTACACAGTGATATCGAGTGGAGCCGTTCCATTTTATAGGTTCCACATTGCTCGTCTACCTGCAATCCTGGATGTCACTGTGCTCCTGGCTATGTGAAAAGCAGAAACGACGTCACAGCTCCATGTGTTCCACAAGCTCAGTGTCAAAACATTACCAGTGCCATCAGTAAGTAATACTTTGAATAGTACAGGGTGACCCACATGAAGTGTGACGGGCAATAAAAAAATCAACTTATGGGCTTCTGGGCTGGAGGAAGCGGTGATCGCTTGGGTGGAAAGGAACGCCATGAGCGTCAACTGAACCTTCCACAGGGTTGGGCACCAGCCCACAGCACAAATGGGATGCTGCAATGTTGTGAAACCACGCTTCCGCGTTTTTGGGGCGAAGCAGTTTTGACCATCAAATCCCCTGATCTCAATCCTTT